AAGACAGTGTGTGTCGCCTCTGTTTGATCTCTATACTCGTAATTTTTGGTATTATATTTATCCCCCGCTTTAAAAATTGGCTCCAGAAAGCTTTGCTTCCAATATTCAGGAAATATTTCAGAATTTAATGACAAATTGAAAGTAGTGGTTATTGGATTCACCAATGTATTTATTAATTCTTCATAAAAATGAGTGGAACACCATCAGGTTCGAAAGAAAACTTATCTGATAAGTTTATTATTTCAAATGACTGACGTTAACTGATCTTTCAGTTATATTATGGGATTTCTTTGTTACCATAACAAGTGAACAATGAAAAAAAATACATAGCAAAATGATCAATGATTCCCTCGTGTTGGTTATGCAAGTTCAAGCTTGGTAAATCGTAGTTTCTCTTATTACACAAGTTAAAAACAAAATATAAATCCCAAAGATTTGGGATTTACATTTATTCTACATTACATTCTATATCTCGAATGTATTGAGTATAACAGGAACTAATGGTTCTCTACATTCACAGTATAAATTTGAAAACATTTTGTAATCTCCAGATTGGTGCTGGAGAGGCAATAAAGCAAGTGACTTATTCCGAAACATCGATGTCCGCCATTGAGGATAACAGTGTTCCATATAAGTGAAATTTTACCTCTTTCCTGTACTATGTGTGTAACAATCCTTTGAATGATATCTGTTTCAGTTCCATAAAGAATTTTTCGAGTACAAACTGAATAGCGAAAAGGGTTCATATAAAAGTAGTATTTGGAAAATAATTTTTCTTTCATGTAACTCAATATTTATATAAGAGTAGTTGTTTCAAGAGGCACTTCCATTATACACTTATTTAGTTACACCCTGTATAGGGGTGGCATAAAAACTTATGAACTCACCCAACATCTCCGAAGAAGGAACTATTGGCGCCTCCTAGTGCATAAAAACAAGGGTGGCAAGCATCAAACAGATCTCGGCATCCAGCTGCTATAACGAAAAAGCTTTTTTCCACTGATTCCAATGTACTACGTTGAAGTTGAGCTTCAAGATAGCTGCCTCCTTTGTTTTCAACCATTTCACCAATGTTTCTAGATGACTCTGGATCGATATTAGTCATCACTACTACACCTTTATCTTTCGCTATATTATCAGAGGGGCTATTAATTCCAAAATTATTTTCTACAATTCTCTTAGCGTCCAGGTGATTTGAAACGCAAATGAATACTATATCAGAGTTTTTAAGGATGGCACGTGGGCTGAGATGGCTTTTCAGTTTTTTAAAATGCCCTAACTCTGAGAGTAATTCATCACTTTTTTTTGTACTTCTGTTCCATATATTTACAGTATGACCCGAGTTCACAAGGTGCCTTGTTAGTGCACTACCTATGATGCCTGTGCCTATTACACCAAAAATTTTGTCGGACGGTGATCTCATGATGTTTTCTTCAGATTTATACAGGGATTCATTGTTTATGTCGACAGTTTTGAATTTTGGCCTTTTTTTATTTCTAGCTAGATTTCTACCATCCCTCTTGACACCTCTTTGTTGAACTTTGAATTTTTTTTTTCTCTCAACTACATAGTTTGGATCGTTTTTCACCTTCTCAAGTTGTTCTTCCAATTCTTGAACGGCTCCCACAAACAAACTTTGCTTATACAGTGGTATATATTTATCTTTATATTGTTCATATGGTTTGATATGGCGCTCTTCTATCCAGGAATAGTCATGTGATCCAAAAAAATATACCCAACAGTACTCTTTCCCAGGGTCATTAAGTGGCTTTTCCGGTACTTCAAATTCAGGTTCAAGAACAATTGATGGCCAAGGAGGATAACCTATTAATTTAGCCCACACAAAACGATCTACACTTATTTTTCTATCCATGGTTAATTTATTTTGAAATTTGAGTTGATTAATGTTGAACTTTTGTGAAATATTCACGCTTTATTTTTTCTCTCTCTTCTAAAGGTGGCAGAAGGGGTCGTATTCCATTACGTATCCTGTCTTTTTTAACGGCGTACTAAAATAGAACAAAAAAAGAATAAGTTACTAAAAACTACACAAAGATACCAATGACTTATATTTTGGTACAACCATAGAAAAATTTTACATACAATGCATTTGAAGAAACACACCATCTTTATCACATTTAAAAAAAGTTAATTTCTTGATGAATATTGAGTTATAAAAAATATAGAAAACAATTCATTTGTTACTCATTTCGAAGCTTTTCTTACAACATTTTAAATGCCATTATAGGTTAATTAAGGTGGAATAACAATTAGAAATCCCAGAAAGTAAAATGATTNGAAGCATTTGAAAGTCAATTCATGTTCTTTAAGACAAGGATTTTTTTCCTCAGCATCTTTATTTTTCATTACAAGTCAAAAATGGTTGGCGGGCCTGTAAAATGAAAGTTTTTAAAAAAATTAATGAGACATATTCAACTATGACAAAATATTTAAAAAAAACTATGGTAATCTGAAACTTACCAAAATTTCTATAAAAAATTGTCTACCTTACTGTCACACTACTCTACCTCTCTACCACAGAACTAGAAAGCTAAGAACCCTGACACAGAACCAATTATTCTGTGATTATGAGCGATGTGTTCTACCGTTCATGCAAACGGTTAGCAGAATGGCGGGTTCCTATATAGGATATACGAACCCTGATTCAGATATATATTCTAAGACCCATGAATTTTTCTCCTATGAAAAAATCTCTTCCATTTTCACTCCAGAATACCATCTAGTAGTTATATGGGATTATTTGTATGTGAATATAAAACTCTGTGAGTATATATAGGGATGTATACAGCATTTTTTTAATTGTACTTTACCATATGTTTATACGACGATTAGGCAGTGTTTGTCCCTACCGAACTACTAGCGCTGCTAGTGAGTGATTTTTCGTACTTCAGGAAAAAGGTTCATTCCGTTGGATTTCAAAGTAGTGGCAAGTGGCAACACCCGAGAATACCATTCTCGGGCAACAAAGGCTTATATATGTTAGTTTACTAAAATTACGTCACTGAAGTAAACACTATGTTCGGTGCCACTGTATTCTTCATACTGGACACATAGTCTGTGGCACAGTAGAAAAGGTTTTACATTATTACTCTGAGGGTTTTTCGAAATATTAATGAATGTTTGCTCACTGTTATTTTATTATGAAATTTGAGTTTTCATGAAACAAAATGCCCCAAGATGCCTGGGAAGAAATTCAAGCTATCAAAAGTAAACGTAAAAGTTTTCGGGAGAGATTGGAAAAGAGAAAAAAGGAAAGACAGGAGTTACTGGGCTCAAGTTTGGGTAATATATTGTTCTTCATTTATTATATTGTCTTTCACTGATAAAATCCGTAGGTCCCGCATCTTCAGTAAACACATCAGATGTAACAACTTATACACCTCTCAGCTCTACAGTCAGCAAAGAACCAAAAAGCGAGAATCCTGATGATCTAATAACGATCGATCCTGAATTGGAACGCTCATTACTGAGGGAATTAAGTGAAGTGACTCTCCAGTTACCGGTGTCCTCTTGTGATCTTTTAACTGCCCTTAAGCTGTTAGCAGATCATGACAGTTCTCATAGAAAGATATGTAACTTGCTTGAGAAATTTGCTTTGCAAAAACTTATAACAGTTAAGACTTCTTCAAAAGATGGAGTGAATTTATTAGAAGTGTCTCATATTGAGGTCTCTAAAGTGAATGCGATGATACTGGGTAGTACACTAGAAAAGCCAGAAATATCCAATGATGACCTAAAAAGAAGGCGAGAAGAAACACCAGAAAAAAATGAATTAGATGAGGAAAGGAGAAAAAAAGACAAGAAAGAACCCAAAGCTGACATATTGGTAAGTATTTTCAATTAAATACTTGTTCTTTTCAAATCAGCAACAACTGACCTATAAGCAAAGTTTAGATGGTTTAAATTAAAGGATAAAATTGTAAGTATTTTTAATTTTCAGTCTCTACTATCTATGCCCTCAACAAAGGAAAAAGAGAGCAAAAAACTAGGTGAAGAAATTCTTGATTTGTTGAGCAAACCAACAGCCAAAGAGCGCTCTTTAACAGAACGTTTCAAGTCACAAGGTGGTAAACAGCTGATGGAATTTTGTCCTCACGGGACTAAATTAGATTGTGAAAGAAACGGCATATCTGAATGTAAGAAATTACATTTTAAAAAAATTTTGCAGAAGCATACTGATGAGTCTCTAGGGGACTGTTCATTTCTGAATACCTGTTTCCACATGGATAGTTGCAAATATGTGCACTATGAAGTAGATAAGAGTTCAAGCTCAGAAGATAAACCTACTATACCTAGCGAACCATTAGTCAGAATGGAAAGTACAACTTTGTACCCTCCGCAGTGGGTTCAATGTGATTTGAGATATTTGGACATGACAGTGTTGGGCAAGTTTGCTGTGATTATGGCAGATCCACCATGGGATATACATATGGAGCTGCCGTATGGAACAATGTCTGATGATGAGATGAGGCAGTTGGGCATTCCCCAATTGCAAGATGATGGTCTTATATTTCTCTGGGTAACAGGCAGGGCAATGGAACTTGGTAGAGAATGCTTAAAGCTTTGGGGATATGAAAGAGTAGATGAGATAATATGGGTAAAAACTAATCAGTTGCAAAGAATTATCAGAACGGGTAGGACCGGACATTGGTTGAATCATGGAAAAGAGCATTGTCTTGTAGGTATGAAAGGAGATCCCCAAGATTTGAATAGAGGACTGGATTCCGATGTGATTGTGGCAGAGGTTCGCGCAACCAGTCATAAACCGGACGAAATATATGGTAAATAAAATTTATGAAACTGAAAATGTAATGAAATCACTTTTTAATCAACTCTTGTTTTTCAAATGTCTCATGAAAATGAGTGAATATTGTTACTACATTTTTCACAAATTCTTTTGTAATACTCTAGGAATACTGCAATATTGTATGTCAATATAATTTGTTTTAAATGACAGTAACTACCTAAAATACAGATCAATTCAATTGTCACTCAATTCAAACAATAGTTTTAATCAATTATTTTCATCTTCCTATGAAGATGGTATAAAAGGTCAATATAATTTCTAGAACAAAATGTTTGTTCTAACATTGCTCACTTTCCTGTTTTATGGCTCTATTTTTGGAACAATTCTGCCATCTTTGTTAATCTTGTTTGTCATTCAGGTACGTTTTCGTTTCTTCTAATAATAAGTTGTAGGTTACATAGAGCTAAATGTTTGAGGAATTTTCTGGAAAATAAAATATTTTACATGAGTAAATTGCAATATTAACCAATTATACCAATAAATACATTGGCGGCATGGAGCTAAGTGTTTGAGGTATTTTGAAGAAGAAAAAATTGAATAAGTAAATTCCAATATTCACAAGTAGTCCAATGAATGTAGTGACAGTTGTATTGAATATTTTTAATTCTGCCGTGTCAGCTCAAAAATACCTGCATTTCAACCAAATGTAGGAATACTTTGATATAATTATAAACACAACTCCACATAACTCGGTGTGGAGTACACACTGTAGAATGGAATATTTTTTCAAATGCACTCACTTCGAATACATTATTCTATCATCTGATGTTTCATTTTGTAAGTAGCTATTACTCTGATTAAAATAAGTATGATGATTGTACAGAAGACAAACATATTTAACAAAATATACATTTCAAAATGAAATTTTAAAATATTCTCCTCTCCAAACGGTCCTACAATGTAGGATCTGCTAGATTCCTGACAGAAAACAACTATTTTCTCGGCTAATATCACTATGGACATTGAATTATATCCGACAGATATTTATGTAAGTTTACACACTGAGAAAATGTTTACAGATGCTTCCCATTTGTCTAGCAGCAGAACCTCACTGATATCACTCGAGTAGATCACCTACAAACTGGTTTCAGGGTATTTCTCGTTAGTGGAGGAGAGATCCAACCCAACCAGCAGTGTGTCTGGGAATTGTCTGATTTCAACGCGGCCCGGTTGCTATACAAAGACTACTTCCAAGAGAAAGATTCATTGAGTATTAACAACTCCATCTCGCGAACAAGCGGAAAGAAGCATCCCATGTAACAACACTTTAACAGAAATGAAAATAAGTCTGATAACTGTATCAAGGATTGATACGTACATACTAAAAAAATAAATATTCCAAAAAAGGAAATTTTGAAATATCGACCTCTCCCAATCTTTCTACACTGTAAATCTGGTAACTGCTCACTGGAAAGAAATATTTCCTCAGCTAATCCCACAATAAACATTAAATTATATCAAATATCATCAGACTTATTTTTATTTCTGCTGGAGTGTTGACACATGGGGTGCTTCTTCCCACTTAGGGTTTTGTTATTAGATGAGAAATCTATTTCTCAGACGAAGGTCTCATATAACAGCCGGGCCGTGTAGAAGTCAGGTGAGTCCCGGGTACACTGCTGTTTAGGACGGATCTTTACTGCACTGACGAAGGGTAGTACTCCGAAATCAGTCTTTTGGTGATCTCTTTCATTTATTTTAGCAAGGTTCTGTTGCTGGACGAACGAGAAGAACCTCAGTGAGAAAACTTGCAGATATTATTCAATGTATATTGTGATATTAGCCACAGAAGTAGTTATGTTCCGGTAGACATTTACCAGATACTACAGTACACGAATTTTGGGTGAGGTGAATGTTGTAAAATTCCATAATGTATTCATGTTAGGAATCACACGTTAAAAGGTAAGACCTCGTTAATCCTTGGCTCGCACAAGTTTTGACTTCTGAGGGTTGTCGTTCGTAGGGGTGCGACAGCTGGTTAACGGAAAAACAGATTTTAAAACAGAAAAACAGAGATTCAAGTCATACTTTATTGTGAGATATTCACTGAACAGTTTACAAAACCACAATACATGTTTCACTATACAATAGCTTCCTCGGATGTGTCCATACTGTTTGAACAGGCCACAAAATGAATTTTCATGTAAAACTTTATATTTTTATGGAATAGTTTACAAAACTGCAACACGTGTTTCACTATACAATAGCTTCCTCGGATGTGTCCATACTGTTTGAACAGGCCACAAAATGAATTTTCATGTAAAACTTTATATTTTTATGGAATAGTTTACAAAACTGCAACACGTGTTTCACTATACAATAGCTTCCTTAAGCCAAGGAATTGTTCTGCAGTATAACACAAAATGATATTATATTTTAAATTTTTGTTATATAAATGAAAATAACCCTTGTGGTTTTTTCAGGTATGATTGAACGCTTATCTCCAGGTACAAGAAAAATTGAATTGTTTGGTAGACCTCATAATATTCAACCAAACTGGATAACACTTGGAAATCAAGTAGATGGCATAAGGTTAATTGATCCCACTTTGATTGAAAATTTTAGAAACCGATATCCAACTGGAAATTGTATGGCTCCTCCACCTGAGAATACACATAATTAAAAATGAACATTGACGAATTCAGGAATATTTCTCATGATGGTTTTTATATTGTGACTAGAATTAGATTGTTAATAAATTAAATTTTTTCTAATTTGTTTATATTTTCAAAGAGTGCAACTTTTCTTGGTTGGAGATAACTTGTGTCTGGCGATCAAAGGCGATAAGGCAATAACCAAAAGTATTTGGTTATCATGGCTTATATTACTTGGATTAATCGACCTAATTCATGTGCAGTCCAAATCAGGTACCCAGAATTTATTTATGTTGATTCCTCTTTCCTTTTGAAAAATGTATATATGAATTTTTATTATATCACTATATATTTATGAATAGTAATTCTGAATTTTGTCAAACATGTGTATTTCTTCAAATGAGATAATGTGATATAACCGGTGAGATGTTTTTTTTTTAACAAACGGGTGATACCGCAATGGACAGATTTTTAAGTCCACTGGAAGCAAACTTTTTCATGGGAAAATTCGAAATACGGACCTTAGAGCAAGCGGCTATGCAATCATATTTTTGACTGTGTTACTTTTAATATGATATCGCAAGATGGTGAAAAGAAACTAAGTGAATTTCTATCTAAACTGTTTCGTTTGATGAAAATAACTAAAATTGCAAAAAACTTATGACAAAAACCTACCATGTTTTGAAAAGTTTCAACAATCTGTATTTCGAAAACGAATTCGTTAAACATTTTATAAGAAAAAGTTGTTTATTTTGACGAGATCCACCACATACCTAGTTTTTGCAATGTTCTCAGCAACTTCACTTAACGCCCCTAGGAGCTAAGTAATATGCATCGATATAGAAAATTGTAAATATCTCGAAAATGATCACCTCCAGCGTTGTTGAGAAGGTATACCTTTTTTACTTGAAATAGGTGTGGAAATTAGGTGTTTTTCATGAAAAGTACCAAAAGTTTACTGTCAAAAAAGTTAGGGCAATTTAAAATAAATAATGACAGCGTACGCAGCGCAAGTGAACAAAAAAATTCAATTTCAACACCCCGTATCTCCGAAACAAAGCATTTTCGGACACAAGTTCATATAGACTTTTTTTCTTAAAATTGTCTCAGGAATACGTCACTTGAATATTTTGACGTACTTATGTTACACCCTGTATAGTCTATATACAAATGTTGTAGTTTCAATCACAAGAAATACTGAGAGGTGACATCTGGGAAATAAATGTGAAAGTTTGTAAGGACGGACGTATGTCGTGTGTAAGTTTGTGACTCTTTCACGACTGAACGGATTTAGATGAAACTTTACATAAATACAGCTTATACATCAGAATAAAATTTAGGCTACAATTTACAACGGTTTTGTGTAATTTTGGTCATAATATAACGAAAAGTATTAAGTAAGCCGGAAAAATGCTTGCTCCCTGAGAGTTATTTTGGCGTGCGCTACCTATACCGTTGGAATTATATGCAGATAATGTACCGTAAAACTGTTGATCTTAAATAGTTCTAAATAAAAGTAAGAGGTAGCCACTATGCAAAATACTAGTCATAAATACAATTAAATTGGATGCTTTTTTAAAATGCACATTTTAGAATATCTGTCAAATTATTATAAAAATTGTCGTTTTAAGTATAATTATAGGTATTAAGCAAAAAATAAAGCAAAAAATAAAATACAAGTAAAAAGAAAAAATACAAACTGAAATTTTACATAACAGTACAAGGGAATATTTTGCAATATATTGTACCTATGTGATAGAATGTGAAATTTAATGATCTTTTGTTTGTTCACCTTTATTTCCTATTTCAGAGTAGTTATTGAATAGATAAACTATGGGCATATAACAGATATATAAGTTGAAGCAGATATGACTTGAAATTCCATAATTTATTGAAATATAATGAAAATCAACACGTGTTTCGCCATACAATGGCTTCTTCGGGCGTGTCTTTACACGCCACAATAAAGTGTTTTTTTGAATACGTTTGTTATGGATTTTCATCAAGTATCGGCCAATTCCATCATATAAAATCAACAGAAATCTATTAGGTAACTTTTAGGAAATCTAATGACAAATATGACGCTCTGTAGAAATCTAATAACAAAATCAACAGAAATATAGTAACTTTTCAATGAATCCAGTGACAAATCCGGTAGGAAAGCCTTGGAATCTAGTGATTTTTTGAGAAAATCTAGTGACAAATATCCCGATCTGTGGAAATCTAGTTACTAGATCAACCCAATTTTAACTAGAGAAATTCTCGCGAGAAAAATACCTGGTTAAAGTTTCAACCTATTTCTCTCAATCTTTTCTCACAAAATTTATTTTTTAGTTTTTGATCTGGTAGAGAGGGAACCTAATATACGTTACCACGTCTTATTTTCCTCATGTTACTATTCAGAATCACACCAAGATGTTCTTCATTACTCTCCCTCCAAAGATGTAGGTACTTATCACCTATAAAAATATATTGGATACAATGTGCTACAGCTGCTCACTAGTTCTGAATACTATTTTAACTTGCATTCGGATGGGCCAGTTTGAAGTTTTATAGAAAAAAGCTTCACTTTTTTGAAAACTATATGATTCGACTGATTTTCTGCAGATAAAGCCGCTCAGGCGTGAAACCATAGGTACTGGGATTTTACAAGTATAAGTAGAAAATGATATAGAACTCCTAAAGTAACTAGTTGTGAATAACTAAATAACTCGTTGATTAAAGATTTTGTTTGTCCATAATGTTCAATTTTTTCATTTTTTTTAAATCGAAAATTTCAACATGGTTTCAGTCAGAACAGTAGTTCCTAAAATCTGATTGATAACGATAGGTAGGTACTTGGCACAATTTTCTTCTAAAATATATAGGCAAAACAAACCAATATGTGCTCCTTCAACAGTAATATGTGGGAAAAAACTTTGGTAGGTATATTACTGATACCATATCGATTCTGACTATTCTGAGTACAGGAATAGGAATACTATGAGTCTGGGGTTGTTTGTTTGTTTATTATTACTGGAATAATACTCAGTAAGATACTTTTTAAGTAGAAATACCTACCTACTTCTACGAGTGTGACAAATGTTGTTATAATTGATAAATTCACTTCATAGGTAAACTATTAGGAATAATAAAAATCCATCTGGCCATCTTTAGTGGTAGTGCGTGAGGAAATTCGGTGTTTCTGTAGATATTCTGTGGCATTGGGGATTCGAAATATGGAACAATTTCAAAAGGATTTCATTGATTCGAAAACTGCGAACACCGCGAGTGCAATGCATTAATTTCTATTAAACTGGAGATGAAAGAATTTCACATTAGGAATTATACTCTTCAATTTCATCAGAAGCATATGCCACTGGATATTTTTTTTTACAATTAAGTATTTTAAATGTTTGAATTGAATAAAAAAAAATACAAAGATCATGATAATGGAAAAAGTATATCAAATTCATTCAATTTTAATTTGCAGTGTATCGTTCAATGAATATAGGTACATCATAGAATCTCAAGTTTTTGATCACAAATTTAAAATAATCAAATCATATCCTTTGTTGGGATTAGGTAGGTTAGTATTTCGAGAATGTTTTTAATAAACATTGGGGATTTTGTACAACCTGGATTGGCAACCCTGGACACAAACACAAATCAGCCCCTTCTGACGGGAATGTGAATGTGAAAATACGGTTAGAAGGGATTCCGACGGGGTTGGTTAATATAATCAAAAAAATCAATATTTGATGTTATTATGTACTCAAAGGATTGTTAATTTTTTAGATATCTGTTATCCGTAAAGTTGAAATCTTTCGTGGTTGTGGTGTATAATGCGTTTGCTGAATGTAATATTTATATTACAAGTAGGTGAGTTTAAAGTGCATGTTCATGTTGCTTATGCTATGAAGTCCACATAATAAAAATTTGTGTAAAAGTGTATTTTAGAAATCCGGAATGATGAAGGAAATATTCAGTTTAATCCAAAATTGCAAATATACATGGCAAAATCAAACAATTTAAAAACCTTTTACTTCTGCCTGACTTGACATAACCACAAACCATATTGAAGAGGACTTCACATATATTTTCGAATTTATATAGGTATTATTTATTCATCATTTAATAAAAAACGCGTTTATATTTAGTGACAGAACATTTCAAATTGCAGATACCTATTCAATCATAAACCATCAAAAGCCTGCTATCTATATCTATTAGGAAATATAAAACAGGTGAACACTGATTACCTGATTAATTCATCAACAAATTGCCCTTTATCTATTGGCAATAATTTCAATTTTGTCAAAAGAATTTTTTTATATTTTTTAATAAATTAGTTCTTGTGACTTATTTTCCTTTCAATTTACCATATTTTTGTATAACTTTGTAAACATCCATGTTTATTCAAAATCTATTTCTCCGTTAACCAGCTGTCACCCCCTTAAAAAAACAAGCCTCGGAAGTCGAATCTTGTGCGAGATAAGGATTAACGAGCTCTTACTGTTTAACGTGCGATCTCTAGTACGTTCAAAATTCCAAAAGGAGTTTATTTACTTCGAAATAACTCAAGTAGTTTTCAAAACATTACCATCAAGAACATTATCTATTCTTATCATATAGTTAAAAAAAATCAATCTGTTTTTCCATTAACCAACTGTAGTTCTTCTACGAACGACAACCCTCAAAAAGAGTCGAATCATGCGCGGGTAAAGGATTAACGAGGTCTTATCTTTTATCGTGCGATTCTTAGCACGGTGATGTTAGGCCTTTTATGATGAGTATTAATTGTCAGAAAGGTAGTTGTTTTTTTTTCGGCAAGAATTTACCAAACCTTCTATATAGGTACGTTGGGAGAAATGAATGTTTCCAGATTCCATTTTGATATATTTATTTTTCTATACTCCAAACATTTGTTAATAAATTGAAACGGATATCATTCATAGGAACGCTACACAACATTTCATATAAAAGAGTAATGATATACAGTGTGGTCCACTAAGTCTGCAACAAATGGGAAACTTTTTTATTATCGATTTCTCAGAAAATTTTATTCTTGACAAAAGTTGGTGCATGTTCCTCCTGTATGGTGTTTGTCATAAAGCCATTTCAGGTACACTTGGTATAGTTTTGGAACATGCACCAACTTTTGTCAAGAATAAAATTTTCTGAGAAAGCGATAATAAAAAAGTTTCCCATTTGTTGCACACTGTATAATACTTCAATTACATGGAACACTATATCATCCTCAATGACCTACTTCAAAGTTTCGGAATAAGACATTCGTCTCATTACCTCATCAGCACATTTCAGCACTCATTTCATTCATAGCATTACGATTTTATGCCAGTGGAAGAGACAAATCTACTCATATCATGATGACAGTATGTAAAACATTCATACACTTATTTGATTCAATCCAGCCAGGGTAGGATTTAGGGGAGAGCAGGCGGGGCTACTGCCCCGGGATCCCCACAGGAGAGGGGCCCCCACAATAATGTCCAAATTTTGACAGGTCAGCAACTTTTACGTTTTTTCTACCAAACATGTTTTTGCATTTTTACTAAAAATACTTGGTACGAAACCAGATTAGGACATGGACCAATAAGAAGCACACAGAGTACTGGGCAAAAGTACACAGTAGAACCTTCATTAGGGAACCGTCCGCGAAAAAAACCGAAGAACTACTTCAATATAGTAGCGATCGGCTCAGAATAATTACTGGGTTACTAACCGCGGTTATTGTCCGCTTAGAGGACACCTGAATAAAATGGGGATGTACAACGGAGACCTCAGCTGCAGATTATGCAACGAAGGGATAGAAACAGCTCTACACTCTACTGAGAACAATTTGCTGACCTGGAGAGTTATACCCAATTTTGGAGTAATCCGAAGCCGAGTTGATCTTTAAGAATATATAAAAACACTTTCGTTATTCCAGGCTCTTTCATAGGAGTGTCATATTCATCTTCTAAATGGATATTGGAACTGGGTGATAATTTCATTGATGTTCGTCGAGACGGAGGATATTGGCTAGTAAAGTTCTACACTCCATGGTGTGGCCAGTGCAAACGTTTGGAACCAATATGGGCACATGTTGTCCAGGCTCTCAAGAACACACATATACGCGTGGGAAAAGTTGATTGCACCACTTTTCCAAATATTGCCAAGGCATTTGACATTGCAGTTTATCCAACAATTAAGTTGTAAGTAATTTTTTTTTTTCACAAATCTAGATAACTATTGAAAATTGTAGAATAAAAATGGATGAAGAATTTGTTTTCAAAGGTGACAAAAATGTTGATGAGATTGTTAACTTTGCAATACGGCTATCAGGACCACCTGTACAACATGTTGCTAGATCTGAGAGTTTGGCAAATATCAAAAATATGAATCAGTTATTTTTTATGTATGTAGGAGATCAAAAAGGACTGTTATGGAACACATTTTATGATGTTGCGTCAAAGATGCAAGCACATGCTTTTTATTACGCAGCTAGTGAAGACTTAGCCAGGGATCATGTTGATATTCATACACTCCCTGCTGTATTTGTTCATAAGGAAAACTCACATTACTTCTATACAGGTGTAACGATTTGAGAATAAGTATCATTGAGGTTTATTTTAGTGAACATTGTGGTGCTTTTCAGTTGGAGAGGGCAACTTCAAAGATGAAGCTGAGCATCTGAATTTTTCAATGTACAATTGGATAAACGAGGAACGTTTTGAAACATTTCCTAAAATTACAGAAGGAAATATCGATGAAATACTCCTAACAAAGAAGTACATCGTACTGGTAGTTGTGGAAGAAAATAAACTTTTCCAGATTCCAAAGGAGATGCTTGAATTTCGAAATACGGTTGAATCTCTGGTTAGGAGGAAAAGAGATAAGTACCATAAACGTTTTCAATTTGGATGGACAAGTAACCTGGAACTGGTTAATAACATTGCAATGCAAATTGTATCATTACCGTATTTGTTGGTATTGAATTCAACTACTTTCCATCATCATATTCCAGAAGACGATCCCACTGAAATGACCCCAGATGCAATAGACATGTTTCTTGAAAGGGTCTACAATCAGACAGCTCCAGTAAGTTTATTTATTTTACACAGAAATATTCTTACTTTATCGACTTCACATTATTGATAACTTCTTCACAAATACTTTTCCCTACTTCATATAAGTTTTCATTTCTTACTCATTCCTTTTCAGGAAGCGATAGAAAAAATGGGTTCACAAATATTTTCAACTTGATTTTTTTTAACCACCTTCAACAACAACCTTCAAACAAACGTTTATTTTTTGAATTATTCATTTAGGTGCAAAGTCTGTATTGAAAATGAAAATTTGCATGAGTACTATTTCGATATTGGGAATATTTTCGATAATAATAATCAATCAACACAGTGAATAAAAATATTTGGGTTTAATTATAAATAACAATCTAAATTGAAAGGGTTTACAGAAATCTTGAGACCATTATAAAGACATAAAGGGTGTTTCAAAATCGAGCCTCACCATTGGGATCTTGGAAACTATGAGAGAAACGAAGATGGTTATATTGGAGCAAAATTGCGCATAACAATATATCGTTGAGAAAGTTCTGAAATACCGAGTATATCCGGAGATATATGGAAAAAACAGGAATTTTGGAAAATGGTTTTTATTTTTTTCTGGCTTTATTTTTCAAAGGATTCGAAAATAAATTGCACTTCCACATTGCCACTTTTTCCCTGCTACATAATGGTGTTTTTATATTTGCTATCCGAACTTTCGTCTTCCTGCCACCATCATCAACTTTATTTTTTCTTATGGGCACTACATTGAATTCTTTCTGTTTTGAATAGAATCAGATTTTACCTTTTCAATGATGTATCATAAGTCATCATTCTTTTTCGAAAAATGGGAGATATTGAAAAAAATCAATTCTTATCATATTAGGCTTTGATTTTGATGTTACTAAATTTGACTTTCAATTTGTTACACTCAGTGACATTATGTTATTGTACAAGTCATTGAATTTTTGGTGAAAAATGGCTTTCACTATCGTATTACAAATACGATAGAAACAGTGTATCCCGAAAGACGACAACCACATCGAACTATGTTCAAGTTATTGGATCAAAATCTCACCGAGTTTGGTTCATTTGAGAAGNAATACAGTTCATTGTATGATTTTCACTATAAGGGTTTTACAAAAACCGCGACACGTGTTTGGCTATACAATAGCTTCTTCAAGCATAATTGAATAGATAACTTTTTTAGATACATCATACACTGACTAAAATTTTTTGACTAAAGAAATTTTATTCAAATGGAACTTTTGCATTTTTACACGTTTTGAAAAAATTCCTGAATACTATAGGGCTCCTACAACCTCAATGTTGCGTATATTTTGGAGGATTCAGTTATAGAATTTCATCGCTTGATAGATGGTGCTACGCTCATACAATGCCTTAATGTGAATGGGATACGCAAAATCATTTTTATGTCTTGTTTCATAAAAGTGGGTTTTACGGTATTTCTCGAAAAGATTTGGGTGAGCAATTAGAAATTTCATTGTTTCAAAGATATATACTGCTGGTGCAGCGAACAACTTATTTGACCTAAAAATTCCCCTATAGGAATCTCTAGAATTGTTATTGAAAAGTACTCGTACCGCTCTTTTTTGACACAGAAAAACTACATAATTTGCATAATATACTGTTAATAGTAATCGATGATACAACATTAGTAACCCATTTTTTGGAAAGAAAGGTTTTGGCTTTCTAATTCTCCATATTTATAAAAAAAAAATGTGGGAATGTTCCTAAGAAAGAAAGAAAGCAATTGATGTCATGAGTAGATTCAACCATTTCGAACTTCTGTATTCGATACGAAAAACATAATAAATGAACACCAACACCACTATGAATGTATTGCCTTATCAACATTTTCTTTTGAATAACCTAGAGGAAAAACACCAGGTTGACTCTATTTCTCTGAAGCAGGGGTCGGCAACCCTTTAACTAAGAGGTGCCCATGTGTAATTTTGAACAAAGCCAAAGTGCCACTATAAAAAACTGTATAATTTTTATACAAAAATGTTGAAAGTAATGAGGAAGGTAACTAATAAAATGAAAAAATGATCAACAATATTTCAAAAATTTCAATCAGAAAGGAAACATATCTCATGAGATGTTTTAAGTTTGATCCTTGTCCTTGAGTTTTTCGCAGAAGCTTTTGTATTTCTGGTTCATATCCAGTTACTTTTTAAATTACACACGCCTCTGAATTTTCTGTTGCTAGCCGGCTTTGATATTGATTCAAAACTTGCTCACACATAAAGAATGATCCGAATGCTGAAAGCCTTGCAAATATCACTTTTTTGAGGCAAATAAATTCATCTGGCAAACTAGCCCAGCAATTCAGTATTTTGTTTGATTTATCCTGATGATCACCTTCTAAAACTCTTCTTATTTGCACAAATTTTGTCTTCCATAACTCGGAATTCCTAAATTCAATATGCTGAAGCTCAAAATCTTGAATTTACATCCATGTGAAAGAAGAACCATTAAAAGGAATGCTTGTAAAATCCTTTAAGTTTGGTTTTATCGAGAAGGAGACGATGTGACAATGACCCTTTCAGCAAATTCTCATTTCATGAAGTCATGTAGTTTTACATTTCCTCATTAAATGCAGCATTATCACAATTATAAAGGTTGAGTAGGTATTTCTTTAGATTTGGAAAGTATTTATATATATAT